CGCGAAATGGAGGCACCGGAGGGGAAACGGAGCCGGTAGAAAGGACGGGCCGCCCCCACGGGGCCGGGGGCCCACGCCGCGCTGCCTGGCCGGGGACCACCCCACCCGTGTTTGTGGGTTGTGAGGGGGGGGTGGTGACAGACGGTGAGGTGTCCCCAAGGCTTGAGGCGTGCCCCGAGCACGTGGCGGTGCCATCGGGAAGGGCTGGCGGCCTCCGTTCCGCCCCAAAAAGTTAACTTTCTGGTTTGGTAAAAAAAAAAAAAAAAAGAAGAAAAAAGGAGCAGGAACGCTTGCGGTGGTGGTTTTTTGGGGTTCTTTTTTTCATTGTTTTTTTTTTTCTCACTTGAATTTGAGTGCACTTTGCTGTAATTTGATTTATAGTGGAATAATTGCCTGTCACTGGTTATTGTAGGTAATTAGTGTTTGCTCTTGATACAATTCCTTAATAGAAAGGTTGGTGGAAGGCGGCTGTCGTAAAACGCCTGTTTATTCTGTCAAAAGGCTGGTCACACCAGGCCCTGAAGCGGTGGGGAGGCTCCTCAGCGGAGCCCCGGGTCAGAGGCTCTCAGGTGGATGCCCCAAAAAACCATACCTGGGAGAGGTACGTTCCCCTCGTTTGTACGACACGATGTTCCCCAGGTTGAGATTTCCCTCCACCGACGGTGGCGAGGTTGAAGCTTTCTGCTGAACCTGACCAAGTAATCACATTTCCTTCGGAAAAAAAGTCAGGGCACCCTGAGGAGAGCACGGTGGCCAGGGCTTTGCCAAGGACCGGCTGTACGAGCCTGAGGTTAGAGCTGCTCCCCAGAGTTGCTGAATAGGAAATTTTTCAAATCCTGAGAATATTAGTAAGGCGGGGAAGTTGCTTGTCTTTAGCTCTAGCCCGGAGGACTGTGCTCCTGGAACCGCTGCAGAACATTGCGTCATTTTCTTCAGTGGGCATTTGTCATCTGCTGCTTTTGTGGAAGCTGGGGTTCTCCGTCTCTTTCTGCAAAAAGGCACGTTTACTTTTCTTTCAAAGATTAAGCTCTCTTTCTGCTAATGGTGCTTGAAAGGTCTGAGCATGTTGTGAATAGAAGGACAAGGTGATCACATCGGTGCAGGATTCAGAATTTGTCTTCTTTGCCAAAAGATTCAGTCTTAGCAACTGCGTTGGAGTTCATATTCAATGTGAGCCCATTAATAAAAAAAGTTTTAAGCAATTGACCCCTGTGTCCAAGCAGAGAAGATGACTGATGCGCAGGGGTGGGATTAACAGCCAAGATTATTTCTCAGAGGATGAACAGCAGCTTTCCTTGTGCTAGTAAAATTTGTGACTGTGTACACGAAGTCTGATAAACCTCTGGATGCCTCCAGAGATGGGCCTCATTCTGCAGAACCTTGCTAATAGAATTGTTGACCTGAGGAGAATCTTTGCAGAATCAAGTTGATTGTGCAGAAATCATTATACATGGTTGAAAAAGACACTGAAAAGTTTATTTTAGAATTTTGTCTAAACCTGCCTTTCTATCCAAAACTATATGGGTTTCATAGGTACATTTCCTACAAAACACATTTTTATTTGGGAGTTTTCTTTTGTTTCTTCTCATGAATGTATCAAATACTGATGTCCTTAATTCCAAAAACCAGAATGAGAATTTTTTTCATTTCTCTCATCTATTCTGTGAATTATTTCCATGCTAATAGATTTTACATTTACTTTCTTAAATAAATGTGCTCTGCTCTAAGCTTCTTTTATAAACAGCACTTGTAAATCAAAGATCAACATCAAAGATGTTCACTGTAAAATAACTACTTTTGCTTGGAAGACACTGCACTAGAAGTCTCACCTTTCCAAGATTGCAGTATATTTATACCCTGCTTGCAGGGTATAAATTTCAGGTCTGAGCATAAGTTACTGCATTTGACCTATGCCACAATTCATTCATTCATTGTTTTCAATGAAAATTCAAACAATGTTGCAAAAAACAAATCAAAGAAACCAAACAAAAAACACACATGAGCCAGCACACACATGCAATAATTTTTTGCCTTTCATTTGTTCACAACATTCAATATTTTATGTTGCATAACTTCACATATTAAGTATAGCCCTGTTCCCTTTTATTATTTTCCAAGGAAAGAGTGAGTGAGAAAAAGAAAAAGGGGATTAAGACGAGCTTTTGAAATAAACACTTAAGTCTTTCTCAACTGTACATGTGCAGTCAGTGGCTAAATTCCTGCTTTTGGAGGTATATCCATTCCAAAGTAGTAAGAATTTTAGAACTGTCTTTCATTTGCCTTTGTAAAATCACATTTAGTCTTAAATAAGAGTAATAATAAGACTGACTGTTTTACTACAGTATTTAGAGAGTTTCTTGTCCTGGAAGTGACCAGGACACCTACAAGAGAGGTGTATTAGATTCTCTGTGAAGTCACCTGTGTGAGTGTTCAGACTCTTCAGAACAACTCAGCTGAGTAACTATGCATTCTGTTCTCTCTGTGGTTTTTTATTCTTCATCTAAGATGTCTTGAAAACCTGCTCCAGATGATTGGCTTCCTTGGGACATGGATTTTAGATTATTGTCAGAGTCTGACCTTTGCCTGGTGGGTTGTCCATCGCCTTACCCCACGGGTTGCGTCTGCATCTAGACAAAGTGAAATGGTATCACTCCTGTTTTATAACATTTTATTTCTACCTGTGAGAGCAGTGTAGAATGAAGCTGTGAATGTCTGTCGCAGGAATACATGTAATTCTCCATCGGGGGAGAGCAATCGGATCCCTTTTGCTTGCTGCTTTCCAGTTCACCACAAAGAGCTACTCTGGAAGCAGCCAGAAACACTCCTTTCCCCCAGGCTCGAAAGCAATCCTATCTGGGAACATCTATCCTGCTACTTGGCTGAGAGACAGGATTCAAATGGAATTATTTCATATGACATGCTGATGCCAGCCTCAGATCTGGATTTTTCTTTCTTGGTCTTTTTTCAACTCAGACTTCCCAAGTTCCTCAGAAATCTTGGTTTGATTGAACATTTAATTGAACTTTGGAGTATCAGTGCTGTACAGAGATTTTGATTGTCATTCCTTTTGGTTGATAGAGCTAATTTACGTTTCCTTTCAAGAAGGTTTAAACTGTCCCCAGCAGAGGGTGGAACGTGAATGCACTGTTTGCAAAAATATTTGAAAGTTCTTGATGTGAAGAGAGGATTATGTTTATATGCCAGCAAATGCAATCAGAGCTCTGGACGGCTATTCCTTGATATTATACTGCTACACGATTAATTTGTCTTGTAGGGAAACCCAACATTAACTTTCAAGCTATACTTTGTATATGCCTTTTGTAACTATTCTGCTTTTGTTGGATGCCCTTCCTACTTCTGTCTTTCTCTTCAGCTTCATGCCCTAGTCATGGAAGATGAAACAGTGCTACCGTGTATCATCTTTCTATTTCACATGGCCATGCTCATGCCATTCTCATGAAAATTCCCCTCCTGCTTTTTTGTTTGTTTGTTTGTTTGTTTTTGTGGCTTACCTGCCCGGTGCAGAAATTGGTTGCAGCTTAGGTTTTAGGCGAACGGGTGGAGTTGCTGGAGCCCTATAGGGTTGCACAGCCATGAAAGGAGAAACGTTGGCCATTTGTCCTGTCTCTGTCTTACATCCCAAATTCTCACAGCAGGAACCAACTCTCTCAGCCCTTGTTAAATGAAATAAAAAGATGGTAAGAATGAGTTTATAAATCACCAGCAGTAAGCAACTTATTATTAATGTTTCGGAAAAAAAAAAAAAAAAAAAAAAAAGAAAGGAAAGATTAAAGCAGCCGCTCCTTTTGGCAGAAGGAAAGTGCAGGGTGGAAACTCAACATCAGATTGCTGATTCAGAGTTTGATCCCAGATGTGGGAGGAGAAATCTTTCTGGAGTTCCTCATAACTCACTGAAATGAGGTAGGCTGGTCCTGCTTGGGAGCAACAAATGGATTAGATCAGCATGGGAGAACAGATAGATAAGGAGAAGGACCTAAATGACTGGTTTCAAAGAAGCCAGAGAAAAGGTATGTGTTCCAGAGAAAGATTCATGCATCAAAAAATAGGAAATGTAATTGATTTCTGAAGTGTTTCTGAACACTACTCTGCCAGTTGTTATAAAGACAGCTTGGAAACACAACCTACAGTAGCCTATTGGAACATGTGTTGGGTATGTATTGCTGTTACTGGTACAGAGTTCTGCTGTAGCTTTTATTACAAAAACTTCAACAAATCACTTCATTTCAAATGCATTTAGTTTTGTCTTTTGTAGAAGAGGCTCTTTATCTAGCTCTTTAATAAAAGAAAAACTTAGAGCAATATTACCAGAGAAGTATTTTGAATATCTGTGTGCATGTCATAGATCTCTACAAATATTCTGATTGCTTTCTTATTTTCCTTTCTTTACAGATACATTTCATCAGCTCACGAATGGAAGTTTAAGAGTTGTTATACAAAATATACATGAAGATGGAAACTTCATCTTTGTTGTCATCCTTACATGATGAATGCAGATCAGACAACTATATTGAACCTCATTACAAGGAATGGTATCGAGTAGCTATTGATGCTCTAATTGAAGGAGGTTTAGAAGCCTACAAAGAATTTCTTTCCAAAGAGAGATGCTCAGAGTTCCTAGCGGATGGGGAAATTGATTATATTTTGAACAATGTCCACAAACTTCCCCAAAACACAATTTATTCCTCTAACCATGCCATTGATGACACCTCTTCCTCGGGAACCTACTGGCCCATTGAATCAGATGTGGAAGCTCCAAATCTTGACTTAGGTTGGCCCTACCTGATGCCTGGAATTTCTGGTGGCACGAATATTGATCTGCTTTTTCATCCACCACGAGCACAACCTTACACCATAAAGGAAACTGTTCGGAAGATGATACGAGATGCAAGAAAGGTAAACATGAAAAATATTATTGGGAAAAATATATGGCAATAATAATCTAGTTGGTGTTTTACTACAGGCTTTTTTTTTTTTTTTTTATTCTGTCAGGAAAAGATGCTCTGGCTGCTAGCAATTCAAACAGAAGGGTTTTCCCAGACTAAGATCAGTCCCATGGTATCACATGCACTGATGTTACTAACCTTATTTGCAAGGGATCAGGAATTAATTGGAGGCATCATTGAAGCATAATTACCATTTTACTGTAATGCTGACCAGTCCATCAGAAATTAAGAGATCATAAGCACACCTTTTATTTGACCTCAGTTGAATATCCCTCAAGTGATGCAATTCTATCTAACTTCAGGATATACCCTAAGCTTTCTCTCTTGCGTCAATAGGATCATGCATCAGTTTGGCTTGGTAGCCAGTTGTTAGAAGAAAATAACACCTTGTTGTACATGCGACTTGTGTACCTTGAGTCTCAGGTTTTGTGATTTTGCATTCCACCTATCCTTGCAGAAATTAGTCAGGAAGTATTAAAAAGGGCTCAGAAGAAAAAGAATGAGGTTTAGGCAACAAGGAAATAAGAGTTGAGTTGGGTACCTTTCCTTGATTTCTGAGTAATGAGTAATTTATAAGAAATATGGACACGTCTCCAAAGGTACTTGTTTCCACTTAGGGGCACTTGCATCTTGAGTTTCCTAAGGCTCACACCTTGGTGACAGGGTGCTGTATGTACAAACCATCTGTTGCTTCCCGGTGTCAAGTTAAAAAAAAACCAACACAACAGCAGAAAACCAAAAGATGTCTTAGTATGCAGTTCTGTTTGACCCTGGGCCACATTACCTCTTTAAACATACGTGACAAGGTTTCAGAAGTATTCCTAGCAAGTATGTCATGCTCCCCTTTCTACCCTGGGAAATAAACTGGGTTCTGCTTGGCTCTGTGGGCTTTAAATCAGTAGGATGGGCTATAGCTCAAGTGCATCTGTAAACACTTCAGTGGCTGAAATGTGCATGTAGGTCTGTGCAATAGAAATGGCCTGAAAAGGGCGGGGAAGGGAAGGATGAGGTCATTTTATAATGTCTCTCCTCTATTTAGATAAAGCATATAATTTGTTGCCACAATAGAGTTATCACTAGGCCTTTTATCCTGCCGTTTTGAGTCTAGAATGACTGTATGCTCAAGGGAGAGGAGAATTAATTATTTCTCTCCCTCTTTGTCCCTTTCAGAACGAGATTTGGTGTTTTCTGCTTTTGTTCGTAGTGGAGCTTGGCTGGGGACTTGCCCAAGATACTCTATGGTCTTTCTCAGCTGCAGCTCCTCAGCTACCAATGTATCCACCACAAAAATACAGTAAACTCTATTGCCAAGACTAGTTCAGTTTTGCTACGAGGTCTTGAAATACCATGAAGAAAGGCTGTTTCCCATTAGTTGCTCTGCTTTTTGGATGGCCAAGTGCAATCCATTCCCTTTCCAGCAGCTGTCTTAGCTGGTGGGGCTGCCTTGTAAAACTCCATTCCGAGGAGTATGCCCCCTCTGAATGCAGCTAGGGAGAAAAATTAGGTGTGATTCTTACCCCTCTTTGGAAGAAGGTTGAGTGCATGGTGTATTGACTCTCGGATGTGCTTGCGGCTCTGCCGGTTTACAAAGAGGATGTTATGTGTGTGTCACTGTCAAATCTGACAGCTGAAAGGTTTGTTTAGTTGATCAGCACAACCTCAACGGCAGCAACCATAACGCTTTTGATATGGGTGATACGGGTTGGTAGCTTCAGGAAGCAGCAATTAAATCTAAAAGACATCGTGTTGTTCAGCCTCTTCTGTCTGCAGATGCATAGGGAAGTTTAAAGGATTTCTAAGTAAGGTAAAGTAAGGTATTTAAAACACGCTCACAGCAGGCAAACACTTTGTAAACAGGCTAACCTACTTCTCCTAAGCCACTTACAAAAATGTAGTTATATTAAACAGGGTTCTTTGTTATATAGCAGTGGAGATGTGTAGTCATATGGGAATATTCAAAGGAAATAGGAAAAGGTTACACATGAAAAGCGGGCACCGGTAAAGAATAAACAAGTTCTTCAGCAAATCACATTAAACCAATACAGCTCCAAGCAAAATCTATGGGAATTTGGGCAAACTTCTGTGGGAAAATAGACTGTTGAAGGCCGGCATATTCATACCACGAAACTTTAAGCATCAAAGCTCGGTGCCTGAGTTCTGGCACTGATTTCCCTGGGCTACCCGAACACGCGGTGCAGTAGGAAACCAGCTCCTGCAAGGGCAAGGCAGAGTATGATTCACCCCATGAAGGAACCCGTTCGATATATATTTAAATGTATATACTAGCCCAAAAATTCATGAAGGGCACGGAGCCAGTTGAAACCTAGATTATTTTGAATATTTTGAGATATATAAGGATAAGAGGACATTATTAGTGGACTTACTCTTGACCTCTTTCATGCTTGATGCATCACAGTGTCACTGCTCAAAATGATCATTACATATGTTAATTTTGACCTTAAGAAGGCACGTTGTAAACAACATTAAGCAACTTGCTTGCTGACAGTGATTTTTCCTGACTAAAGAGGAAGATCATTTGTAAGCCTGTGCTACACCAGACTGAAAACAGTGACTATGAAAAAGTGTTGTAAGAAAATCTTGTGACTTATATGTTTCTTAAATCCATAATCTGTATAAAAACTATGCACATCACCTTCATGGTAAGTACAGGCAATATAGTGGTGGAGTTTTTCTTACAGAACATGGTCAATGTGACTGAATCCTAGAAAAATGAGTTAACCATTTGACCCTTTTTAAGGAGATGAATGCTTGTGATGAATGTTTTTTAACCTATGTTAGAGTAAGGGAACTGTGTCATACATAGGATGGCATGACGTTACAGTCTATATTACAGCATTTCTGCGGGCTAGGTGTGCTGTTAGTAGTGATGTTAGCAGAGTGCCTTAGGTCAAACCTAACATATCAACAGAAGGGGTGGACTGTTGGTGTAAGAAGACCTCATCTCCAAATGATAGAGCTTGGCAGCCACCCTCCTCTGTCAACATGACCCGTGTTCGTACAAGGAGGCTGTTTGGCGTCACCGTGTCAGCTGGGGAGACACGAGCCTTTTTTAGATACTGATATAACCACGTGGGGAAAAGCACTGCAAAAATTGGTCTGATAATTTCGTTATTGATGGACGGACTGTTGCAAATGAGCCAGTAGCCTTATTTCTTGTGTGTTTTGGAGGCTTCTACCTTTAATCATTGGCAGGTTTCTGGCTTCTCTGAAGTTTGAGGTGCTCCTACAGCCTGACTCATCTCGACTGGGCTGTCTGAACCACAACTGATAATGTTTAGGAGTTTTTCCTGAGACGATTATTCACCTGGGAAATGGTATCAAGATGTTTACTCAGCTGTGTCAGGTTAATGTGAAACTTCCTTCTCTCACTGTAAAGTAACACGGAGACTTCAATAATGAAGTGGCCTCTCGCTGTATGACTTTTTGTAAGGGTTGTCTCAAAACCATCAGTTGTAGGGCTTGTGTGTGTGTGCAAGAAGCAGCTCGTACTATCTTCTCAGGCATGACTGACAGAGTGAGGCAACAGGGAAAGGACAGGACAGAGCACCAAAGGGTCCTTCTGGCGGTGTGTTTTTCTGTTACTTCATTAACTGGATTCCTCTCTCCACCACCCAGACATTCCTACATAGTTTTAGAGAGAATGCATAGCTCTGAGTCTTTTAGATTGATATCCAAATAAGGATCAGCTCTTCCTGGAGAGAATTCAAACCTGTATTTTAAAGAACCATGTTGTTTAGACAACCCAAGGATTGCTGGTTTGCAGCACAAACCAGAAAACACTGAAAGACTTCCCTGATATACTTTAGGGATTTTCTGATGGAATGTAAGAAGATGCACGCTATTTGATAAATATGCAATACTTTTCACTTGTTTTATTTTATTCAGATAGACTATCAGTCTTAAACCTAGGTTCATAAAATCAGTGACAGTTATGAGATTTTTAAAAATCTTATTTGTTTTTAGATGCTTAAATAGAAATTTAGATGGTTAGTGTGTTATCATTTTGGAAACTCAAAAAAGGCAGTTGTTTTTGCTGAAGTAGTCATGATTGGACTTTTTAATATGAGAAAAGGTTGCAAAACTTGGCCCCTTGGGACAGAATTAAGCTATAATGTAAGTGAAAAAAGTTATTAAGTCTTGCTGGACCAACTGTAGGTAGACCTTTAGTAAGTCAAAAAGGATTTTCTTTGAATTCTCATGAGAAAGAGAAGTTATGTACAAAACCTGATGCCTGTGTTGCCTTCTAGAGTAATGGACCTAGTTAAATAAACAAAAACAGCTGACTCATTTTGTGATCATATAAAAAAGAAAATATTTTTTTCTGATTTGTTTTTTGTTTGTTTGCTGCTTGTTTTGGTTTGTTTCAGGCAAGAGTGAGGGGGTTGGTATTGTAGAAAAAGTGACTATTCACTATGGATCTCATTTGATTGCGTGTATAACACATGAATAATGATCTAGTACTGGCTGCATTCTATTATGAAAGAAAATGAAATTCTTTATATGCCTAGATGAAGAGTGATGTTTTCTATACGGAAACAAACTTGGGTGTGTTGAGCAATCTTTTTATTCTCTCAACAATACTCTGCCAACTATTTTAAATATAATTTGAACACAGACTGGGACAATGGTAGTGCTTGTGGCAATGCTTGTCTTCATAGAATCATAGAATGGTTTGGGTTGGAAGGGACCTTAAAGATCATGGAGTCCCAACCCCCCTGCCCTGGGCAGGGACACCTCCCACCAGACCAGGTTGCTCCAAGCCCCATCCAGCCTGGCCTTGAACCCCTCCAGGGATGGGGCAGCCACAGCTTCTCTGGGCAACTTGTTCCAGTGCCTCACCACCCTCACAGCAAAGAATTTCTTCCTGGTATCTAATCTAAATCTCCTGTTTTCCAATTTAAAACTGATACCCCTCGTCTTTATCACTGA